TATATATATGACATCGCGTCGGCCTTTTCGGTGACGTCGCCGAGGCGACGCGACGTTGCCTTTAATAAGAATATTTATATATAAATATAAATATTTATATATATATGTATGTATGTGTGTGTGTATATATATATATATATATGTATATATATAATATTATATATATTTATTAATTTATACATATATAAAAATGAGGCGACATCGCCTCGGTGACGTCGCCCCACTTGGGAGAAGAGAGAGGCGACGTCGTCGAATTATATATATATATATACTGAGCAGTATACCGAACGGTATATCACTCGGTATACAGTATCGTACCGTACGGAGTGAGCGTCGAAACTCCGGTACGATACGATATTTCAATCCTTGGTTTGAACAATTATAATTGTGCTGGGAACTTAATTTTTAATTAAACTACGATACAGTGGCATGGATAAACCTGATTGTTCAGGGTTATAGGCATAGAAACAATCTTTCCACTTGTAAGGATAAGATTGCATCCATTGACCGTTCTGCGTTTATGGGAGTTTCATGGATTGGACCTTCCTTTTTTAACTAAATGGCACATTATACAAATCAAAACTTGGTTTTGTTATAATCATCCATGTGGCTTTAGTGCTGTAAATAAAATAATTTTAGCAAAAATAAAATAGCTTTTCTTTCTGAAAAAGCTGATGTTTGTATTCTTCCATGTTGATTGCTTCCACTGTTGTGCTAATACTTTTCTCTTATTTGGTTTAGGCAGGAGTGATGCATTGGGTTGTGGAAAAAATACCTGATCAGTCTTTTCTGAACACTGCTAGGTGGAAGTATCTTATTCCTCAATTGTACAAAAAGTACCCTAATGATGACATGCTGTTGAATATGTCATTAACTTCTCCACCGGGCATATGGATTACACCACAAAAAATAGGGGCGACTATTTCTTTAGACATGACCATTGATGTCTTGGATGGCAGTAAGACAATTCCTGTTGCTTGCATATCAGTGGTAATTGATCGTTAAGCAAATTTTATAGATGATGTCGGTTCTGCTAATTATAATCTAATGCATGGTATACATTAATGCTTCTGTATGTATATATGCTAGAGCTATACACTGGTCTTAGTGCTTTTAGACAATAGGTGACTTCAATACGTCTATATATATTCTTCTTTACTTCATACAGAGAGGCATATAATTTGTTCACAAATTGTTATCCTATTTTTGTTGAAATGGGTAAGAGCTAGGTCAAGTTGAACAAGGTAATTGATAATACAGTTTCATGACCTAATCTAAACAACATGACTTGATCATGTTATATTTGAAATTTTGCTATGCCCATTATCTATTGAACTATCTTTTTATATTTTCGTATGTAGTGCTATCTAAAACAGATTGTTGTTGAAGGGTCATAGTTTTTCATACATTTTTCTACTCCTTTATGATTGTCTTGGAATGGTGGCTTTATATTGTATTCTATATAGACATTTTTTGGTTCATCTTTAAGGAGTTTCACATGTACCAGTCCAGTTATATGAGTAGTGGGGGATCTAGCCTCAAATGGTGAAAGGATTTTGAACTTGAGCAACCTTGATACTATCACCAAGTTTAGAGCTAATGCAAGTATAAAGAAAGAAAATTTTGACTTGGATTGCCTTTGTTGATATTTGAAAACTTATAAAAATAATTTATAAAATGGTATCATTTTTATAGTGCCAGAGGGGATTGCATTTCTGAAGAAGCACAGAATTATTATTGCAACAGCTCAGCTAGGCAAAGATTCGATGAACTCAAGTAGTTAAATGCATCTTGGGATATTCTTGTGAACCACATTATTTCTTTGGTTAAAAAACTACACCACTACTTATATGCATCACAAGGTTTGTGTTTAGTTGTTGATTCTGTTATGAACCTTTTCATTTTAGATGGTTCGTGGACAAAATGGAGAGTTTTGAGCATTTATGTCAACTTGTCATCCCCTCTGAAGAAAGTAATAGTATGGATAACAAATCTGTTTCTATGAAGCTTGATCCTGATTATGACAGTCCATTGTCAATTTGAATAGCTTTCTATAAGTTTATATTGCTTTTTGCTGATCACAATGTGTATTAGGATAACACTTTTTTAAGTTTTAACTACAACTAAAACATTACTACATATAATCCAGCTTGTCGAGAGCTGCAGGTGTTGTTAGGAATGTTTTTTGCATCTACACGAAACACATACACATATGCACTACTGCTGATGCTTTTGCGATGCCTCAGGTTTTAATATTTAATATGAATGTTTGCACTGGTAGCCAGGGTTCTTCCTTGGATCCTACGAGTGCAATTAAGTTAAATCTTTTTATTGATGATTGCAGGTTTTTAATATTGATGTTCTTTCATAGCATTGCAAAATTGATTGCTTCCATGTACCATGATCTGAGGACTTGTCGCTTGTCTTGTTGCAGGTAGTTAGCGTTTCAGGAGTTGTCGAGATATCAGGGAATAATCTAGCCGGTCAAGTTGAATTAGATGACTTCACCCTTACTCTGAAGTGGAGTGATGTAGGCAACTTTCATATGTATCTTATCCAGGTCTGGTCGATCTACTTATTACTCTTCTTCTGTAGCTCAGAAGTTTCTTTCTGGATTTTTGTTAGAAATCTGTTTTCATATGAATTTCTGACTGTCTATTGTCATTTGCGATCTTGAGTGAGACAAAGAGAGTCTCATTTTGGTTAAAACCATGCTAAGCATGGTCCTCAAGATTTTTACTTTTCAAGAGATGAATGATACCACATGTATTGCATCAGTACCTTGCATCATATTGACAGTATGAGATAAAACTGAATTAATCTTTCGAGCACCACTAAATATTCATTTGCTCATGACGAATTCGCCAAAACCACAATGTTCTACGTAAATGGAACTTGAGGAGTCCTCCTATGGTCTTAAAACATTTCATGGGGCATCAAAATCCAAAAAAATTGGATCTGCTGAGTGCTCATCTAATTATTTCACCAGAAGGTTCATCGTGCATACTCTGGTTCTTATTACTCGGAGTTAATTTCACAGTTTACACAAACCGGTGGAGCATTCCTGGTTAAGATATGAAGGTTTGAAATTTGGGGGAGAGTTATCTGATGTTTATTGTTTCTTTTGTTAGTTTTTAAACGTAATGTGGAAATTTGCATTGCTTCCACTTCGTCTGTTTTTCACGTTCAACTTTATGCTAATTGTTTGTCATAAGCGATTGGTATTAAGGAACGACACTTAGTAGATTTTAATGTCGATGCAGGGAGTAATGCGAGTTTTCCTGAACACAGTATTCGTGCCATATGTGAACACGCATCTCCGGAAAGGGTTTCCTCTGCCGATTGTCCATGGTTTCACCCTGCAACATGCAGATATCCTTACTGCCAACTCCATGATGATTGTATGCTCTGATGTAGCATTCAACAAAACGACTGGTGTGATCACTTCCTTGTAATTTTCAATCACACTCAAAGCGACCATACAGATTGAAGTGAATCCTTTGTCTATGTTCAGTACAAATGTGTGCAGATTGAAGTAGAATCCTTTCTCTATGTTCAGTACTAATGTGTGATTGTGAAAGCATTTTATATCTTCAGCTTTTTCTTTTATTTTGTACAGTATTCTATGTACACGAGCTCGAACATTATGCTAAAAATACATATATACATGAATTGGGTTTATTTTTTTTATGTTTTGTCATGTGTACAATTTTTCCAATCATCACTTGTGTATTAAGAAGAAGATGGATAAGATACAAGCTTTGATTGACCATACAAGTAGAGAATAAGCCTTGAGTATCCATCTATTTTTCCGCATCATTCATAGTATCAACAAAAACTGTGATGCATATGTATCAAACAAGATAAGATGGGAAGTCGGGTTGACGACGAAACATTCCATGAACATAAGAAGAATTGGGGTTTGAGAGTAAATGACCCTAATACAATCCAAACTAATGGGTTTCAACTGAAGGATTGGTCAAAAGTACGAGAGAGAGTAAATGACCCTAATACAATACAAACTAATGGGTTTCAGCTGAAGGATTGGTCAAAAGTTCAAGAGAACGCCGAAGGAAATCCACCGCAACAGGGACATCATCAAATGCAAGTGCACCAACAGCAAACCTTGCTGCCTTATGAGCCTCTGCAATTTTCTCCGCAGGTGGCTGATAACTGCTGTCATACTTGTATCTCTCGGCCGATAGAGGCGCTTGTACCACATGACTCTCGTCGAGACTGCCAGAACTGTACTGTGCTGGTGGTGCATAATGTGAAACAGGAGCAGGTTGGTGAGAGGATGCAGAATCATGGGCATGGTAGTAAGAAGGCTGATGAGTGGGGGCAGACGGGAAGGTGCTATCATGGAAGCTTGGATAAGACTGAAAATTAGGATAGGGAAATGGAGGAGTAGGGTTTTCTGAATGATTATTTTGAGGCATATGTTGGAGCTCATCTCTGTAAGAATGATGATCATATTGTTGAGAGTAAGCAGAATATTCAGGCCCGCTGGTCTGTTGAAGGTGGTGAACTTCAGGACTAGCATAAGAGGATGATGTCGCAGGCGGTTGACCGAAACCCTGCATGGTAACCTCATCAGCATCCTGAGATGATAAGTTGGCACTTTGGTAGCTACCTGCAAAGCTCTCACTTCTTCCTATGATCTGTAGAGGCAGAAGAAAAAAAAAAAAATCTGTTAGAAAAGGTTTCAACAATACCCTTTGGGCAAAAAGAAAAGCAGCTCACATTGACCTTATCTACATCAACATGATGAGGTGATGCATCACCACCTCTCTGGCTGGATGGAAAACTGTCACTTGGTTGCAGGTCCTAGCACAGGATAAAAAAATGAGAAAAGACTTTGTAGACCATTTAAACATTTTCTCTTTTATAACAAGAATAGTAATAAAAAAAAATTCAAGGTTTTGACAGAGATAAAAAATCATGATACAAAACAAGAATATTCGAAAATCTGCAGTCTAACTACTGCAGAATCTTACAAAATCCTGATTAGCTTCATCACTTTGGGGAGTTACATATGCATGTAAAGAGGACCTCTAACTTTTGGCTGTTTTTTAAAAAATAATGAAAGAAATTTTCATTACAAGTGTACATGATGCTCACACATGAACACCGAATATGAGATCTATTACTTGTGCAACAATGCACTAACTAACTCGGATATCTTAACAGAACATACCTTAGAGGACCTCTAACTTTTGGCTGTTTTATATGCCATGTTCAAAATGCTTGTTTTCTCCTATGCTGGAGAAAAAGAGTTATTATACAGAACATACTGAGGCAAACACTGTTCAAGTATAGCATTGTGGAAGGGGCAATACATATGATGAGCCTCACTCCAGCCGACCTACTTTGCAAAATTTGGCAAAAAACATGTCAGGAACTAAATCCAAATTTGCTCCAAAGTTAATGGACTAGTGGTTTAATTTATCCTTTGACATAAATAAATCCAAGACTCAAGTACAAATGAAAGTTTAAATGCTATTTTTTGTCAAGCTTACTGGTTTATGTAGTTACTAACAATGTATTCTGAAAAAAGATAACATTATCTTTGCCACTTAAAAACAAATTCCTTGAAAGCAGCAAAATCCTGTCAATTCCCGATACAAGCTCATGAAGCCGGCAAAAATCAGAATGCAGTAATAAATTATAAAATTTTGTCAGTAGTGTATACAACAACAAATCAGTAAGCCCCAACTATTTGAGTTCGGCAAGCTTAGTGGTGTATGTGGATGCTAATAATGTGATCTAAATAATATGAATAATGATTTTTTTAATGTTTAAGAATATTTTCTTCTTTGTGAGAATTAAAATCTATAAATTTCTGATATGAACACTTAAAAAAACTTCAGAACACCAAAGAGAGCAAAAGAAAAAATAAGCTATCTTGCCAAACATATGGTTGTGGTTCACAGAAAGGAAGCATGCTGTATTATTTGCTCAGCCAATGAGGTACAACTTAAAATGCATACATATGTGTTGCTTGATGGGCTCGAGGAAATTGATAAATCTGTATCACCACCAGGAGGGCCTGGTTCAGGCTTCCGGCCTTCTTTCAAGGCTTTCCTTATATCTGCAGCTTTCCAAACTGCATACTTCTGTTTTTGCTCAATCTGGAAAATGCAACATGACCAGCATAAGTCAACTTTCTCAAATTGAATCACAGATCAAGAGAACTTTAAATTACCATTAGATGAAAAACTTACATCGGGCTGATGCTCACCAAATTGACTCAAAATCTCAAAAAAGATGCTGGCTGCATAAAAGGTCTTTGCAGTATTCCTGTAACATTTATATCTCATTTATATTGCCTACACTCATGACACTGTAAAACACTAGCTAGTTATGTTAAATAATTGACAACGAAACACAACAAGTTGTTTTACATACAAGTCAGCACGCCCAGCACGATCTTGTTTATCTGCCTTTGCAAAAAGATTAGATACAAATCCCTCCACGTAAAGGTTGTCATCCGGCCCTAACTTTAATGATTTTTTATCCTGTGAGAAGTTACAGGATCTTGCATCAATAAAAAATCTCCATTTAAATTAGTACTAAAATTTTCAGATGAATCTTAAATGGTGACTATTAGCAAATGTTATTGTCTTCAAGTATGCAAACCATCAATGTAGAACTAAATTCTTCATTGCCAGCTAGAGAAGCACTAGATTAACAGGAAACAACCAGTAACACATAATTGGTGAAAGATGGTCACTTTTGCCTAGTTTTCTCTCAAAAAAAGGTGAAAGTTGAATTAAACATGGACCACACAACAAAGCTCAACGATAGAGACAGACTTAGTCAATACAAAAATTACAATATCCATATTCCACAAATTACAGTTAACAATGTTTAATTGGATGATGTTAACAGTGTTTAATTGGAAAATTTTGCTAACTGGTGGGCACAGAACCCTTTTTTAGCAGAAAGGAATTTGCAAGTAAAGCAATGAAAAACAATAAAACAATTATAAATCTGATAGCATAACAATGAATGCTACTGCTGCCATCAAAGATTTGCTACAACCTATTTATGTCAAGTATACAAATCTTTACTGACATTCAGCCCTCAGCCCTGTAGAGGATGTACTACCAACTAATACAATAATAAAAACAAAGCCATAAGTCTCAATTATTTGGGATCAGCTTCATGAATCTTTCACCGTCACTAAAATTTGTAAAAAGTTATATGTTTAGTAAAGTTTAGAATACTTAAATCTTTATTTATAGCAAGGTATGCAATTTCGAATAATACCGTCCGGTATGAACGGTACGTATCGGTCCGTCAGCTTACCGATACACGGACCGCTCGTTACCAGGCAGAACGAAAAAAAAAAAAAAATATATATATATATATATATATATAAGGCTACGTCACGTCGCCTTTTTCAGCGAGGTCACCGAGGCGACGTGACGTCGCCTTTTATAAAAATATTATATATATATATATAATATTATATATAATATTATTATATATATTATATATATATATATATATATTATCAAGGTCTGCAGTACCAAACTGTACCGCCCGGTACGGGCGGTATGTACCGGTCCGACCGGTTGTCGGTATACGGATTGCCTGTTACCGGTCCGAGTGCACTATTTATACCATAAACACATGTTTATACCATCTTAAACGATTTTTTCTCATCTTATCCCCTATCAAAAGGGTACCTAGTTGTTTACGAATAAAAGTATTTCTTTTCCTATCTTTCCTAGTAACTCAACACATATATCTCAACATTCTCATCTCAACAACACAAATTTTTTATTTTTTTTGCATATGTTGTTTCTTAACTACTCAACACTTAGATCATTAAAGCATTGTTGATTTCACAACTGTCTTATAAAATTTTTCTTTCAATTTGAAAGATATCCGATAATCACATAAGACTCCTGATGCCCCTCGCTATTTTAACCATCATGTTTTTACTTTATGAATAATATTTTCATCGATCTCTCCATCTTGTTAAAATACATGTTAATGTATCATCATTAACATGTATTTTAACCATCATGTTTTTACTTTATGAATAATATTTTCATCGATCTCTCCATCTTGTTAAAATACATGTTAATGCATCATCATTAACATGTATTTTAACCATCATGTTTTTACTTTATGAATAATATTTTCATCGATCTCTCCATCTTTTAAATCTATCCTCATTTTTATAATTTTGTCAATATTTAAAACATAATCTTTTAGTAAAAATTATTTTTTAAACTTCCTCGCACCACCACCAACTCTCTCTTAAGTTACCCCTCTACCTTTCGTTTCATCAAGAATCTTCTTTGTTAAGTTCATAATCTTATTAGCCATCGTAGTATAAATAAATATTAATATTATCCTCATCTAAGTTTCAAGTCACCTCCCTTTCCATCCTATTCTTAAATATCTCTTTACATTATCATTTTTAAAATTCCGCCATCTAGTCTTAATAAATTTTTTAATTATCAATTTCTTCTTCCATTTTTTACGATAAATATCTAATATCAGCAACCTATGTTGATTCATCAAACTTTCATCGAGTATAACTTTACATTTCTTAAAAATAACTTTATTTACTTTTCTAGTGAGAAAAAAATCTATTTGACTATAATTGTGAGTCTGTGACCACTCTTATAAGTAACCAAATCTTCATCTCTCTTCTTAAAGTGAATATTTATAACTATAAGATCATACGAAGTTGTAAAATCTAAAATCATACCATCATTTTTATTTCTATCCCCATAACCATAGCCCCCATGCACTCATTTATATTCAACATATGTTTTCCCCATATAACCATTCAAATCTCCTATAATTGTATCACCAACTAATACAAGTGTCAGATTGCTTGTATTCTTAGGCAATTCTTCTCTGATCTTTATTCTGTCCTTCGTGATTACTACAACATACAGAAGTCATATCACCTCATTAATAAAACTGATAGTCTTGTTTTATCTCGACAACAATCTTCATGGTCCTCTTCTATTATCTTGTTTCTTTTCATAGCACAAAGGACCCATCGTATGGTTCCCATTTCCGTGGCACTAAGTTTATGGATCTGGTGTTCCATAAGACAACTGTACACTAACTCATAAATCATGGATGGCTTTGTAATTTCCTTATAAAACACTAACTCTTGTCATACTAGAGGGTATTTGAAGGTCATACAACGCTCCCAATTCATTGTATTTAATCTGTTTGAATTTAGTTTCATAATGCTTTCCATCTTCCCAAATAGAAGGTGCATGCCTGACAGAAACCAAAAATATAAAGCTGCCAATTCATGTATGGCCCTTCAGCCCTACCTCGGGCATAAAGTTGCCCTAATGTTCTTCAGCGACCAAAAATCTTAGTCCAGAAATATAAAAACGAGCAAGAAGACAACTTCTGATCGTTCTAATTAAAGCTTGAACAGCAACATCATCACCATCAAAGGGAACAAATAAATAGCCATGCACCTTAACATACACGAAATTCAACTCGAATCAATCAACAGACAACAAGAAAGGAGTCAACTCTATACTATGAGATTCTTCGCAAGATCGAATTCACAGCATAAAGAGATGAAAAAGAATCATTCAATTAAACAGAATGACGAAGGAGAAAGATTAAACCTACCTTCTCGAGTTGGTTCATGAGGGAGATGAGGAGGGCGTTGGTGGTCTTGGTTCGATCCTTCTGCGGAATCTTCAGCCCTCGCTCCATCGCGTAGAACCGACCTGCCAACCAACCAATCGAAACAACGATTGAAAGGGGAACAAATCTTAGGGTTACTAGGGACGCGAACTATTCCAAAAAGAATCGGAGATCGAATGGTAATACAGTAGTAGGCGACGAGGGGTTCATGCTTCTGCAGCTCGTCGGCCCTTTGAAGGTAAGGCAGGAGGAGCTTCGCCGGCTCCGCGTCGCCCCCAACACCTGACATGACACCCAGTTAATCCCTCGAAGGTCTCTCTTTTGTGGGAAGATTTGATATTATTGATTGGATCCTTTGTCTCCTCACAGAGGAACGAATTCTTCTTCCTTATCGTAGCAAACCGTACACAACCCCGACGAGGAGGCCATCTCGAACGAACCAAGAAGAAATAAGCGGGGGCTGCTTCCATGCGAAGGAAGCTGCTACAGGAATTCAATAAATATCTAATACAAAAATACCCCGATTTTTGAAATAATATATATATATATATATATATATATATATAGGTAAATTTTCGTTAAAAAAATTCATAATTTTGAGAAGTTCTCACCCTCATTTTCAATAATTCTCACACATAACCTCAACTTGAACTTATTTAATCAATCTAAAACTTAGATCAGTTCAAAATAAATTATATTAATAATTTATTAACATATATAAATTTATAGTATTTAAAAAATAATTATATAAAAATATAGTAAATATAATAAAAATATAAAAAATATTAACTATAAAGTAAAAAAATAATATAATAATTATATATATATATATATATATATTAAAAATAATATTTAAAAAGAAATATGAAATATCTATTTGAAAAATATTTTTTTTATTTTTAAGTTTTTAAAATAATTTTTTTGTTTGCTGATTTTGACCCTTAAAATATTAAATTTATCTAGAAAATATCAAAAAATAATTACTTAAAGTTTTCAAAAGAGAAAAAGCTGTATTTTTTATCTTAGACCGATTCAAATATTCCCTGAAAGTATCAACTTATTGATAGGCTTTTAATGACTGACTCCCTAATTGGAACTCCTTACAATTTTCCATGTTGTCTAATTGAAACTCCTTACTCCCCTAATTGTTGGGCTTTTAAATGTGATTTCATTTGGACATCTATACCAGCATTAAGGTTGATGTTATCAAAATGCATTTGGATGATCAGCGTTTCTGCCGTTCGTCATTGTTGTTCGAGAAAGCACACTGATGATGCAGCAGCTGAACCAAGAAACTCTAAAAAGATCCTCCAGCAAAATTACTTCACAAGCATTTGGATGATCAGCCTTTCTGCTGTTCATGCAGGGGAGAATATTTCAAAAGATTCACAGACTGTCGAGACAAAATGGAATTTCCAGTTTAGCCATGGCATATATATCTGTTCTCCAATCTGTTCATCGGGCCAAGAATCTCTTCTTCCCCTTTTAGCACACATCTAAACCAGGAATTAAGCCTTAAGTTCTACCGCTTGAGATTTGCAGCGTATATCAACTACATTTACATACAATCAAAGACGAAAGACATGGCTGCTCGATGCAGAAACTGATCAAGTTTTTTTTGTTGTTAGTCATAGATCAAAACTATTATTTTCACTCAATATGAGATGCTAGAAATAGCACATGAACAAAACTGAGAATGGAGGTTGGAAGATCTCACACATCATAATTGAGATGCAGAGGAAGAAGCAAGCCAAAGCAATGAGATACGTGTGTTACATCCTTCATATCTTGCTTCTATATCTGACCAACTTGGCTAATGTTTCCTGAGCAGCCAAAGTCTGAGCGTGGTTATGGCCTAGCATCACCGTCCTGATACTGATACAAGTTCTACATAGCTCTTCGCCATTGTCAAAATGCCCTCCCCTCAGCAGCAACTTCGCCCGAGTCTCCAGCAATGTCGCTTTGAGGAGCGTCACATCCTGCCAAACATATTCATCCACCTTCTGATCGGAGTGCAGCCTCTTTTTCCAGCACAAAGATCCTTGGTTCCAATCCTGTATCTGAGATACAAATGATTTCTCCACCTCCTCGAGCACGTTGGTGCACACCTTCAGGAGCTCCAGAGCTGAACTGCACCTTGAGAAGGTCATGAAGGACCGGATTGCTAGAGGAAGTGCCGTCTTTTTGATGAAGAAGACCATGTCAGCTGCCTTGAGCTGAACCAGAGGGGGTTCTGATTTAAATCCGAAGATAAGAAACGCTGAAGCCCATAGGTGGTCAAAGTTCGCCGTGGCGTTACCGACCTTCATCATGCCATGCACCGTGGCCATGGCTGGCGGCAGCCCGCCTCTCCTCCTGGCAAACGTTTGGGTGATCGGGTGGAATTGGATCCAGCATCCAGGCTGTCTTGCAGTTCCTTTTGCCAGGCCAAGTTTAACCAGCAGGAGAGCAGATTCCACTTCGATTTTTTGAGCTTGGGGTGGTAAATAGCATCTGGAGCCACAGAGGAGGAAAGCAGCAGTGAGACCTTTCCCCCATTGATGAAAGCTTCCTTTTGTGGGTAAATTATTAGAAGCAGCTGCTAGTAATGCTGAAGAAACGGGGGCAGTAGCGAACCATGCACCAGTGAGCACCATCCTTGACGCAAGGCTTCTTCCTTTAGCTCGATCCAGTACCGCAAAGCAGAACACCAATACTTTGATTAGGAATGCATTGTTCCCGCAGAAACCATCCTCGCTACCAACCAAGGGAACGCTACTATCGCTGAGGGAGATCCTGTCGATTGCTTCAAGCAATTCGGATGGTGAAATTGCCATCTCAGAAAGAAGGGAGCCGATTACCGACAACCCAAAGCTCAACCTTGCCAACCTCTCGTCGAATTTTTTTAGTACTTCAATCTCCTCGGCCGAGTAGTCCTTCCTTCTGCCTCTAAGGAGGAGGAGAGAATCTGCCGAGGAAAGCAGTGGAAGTTGCATTGGCTCGAAGCTCATTACCTTGGGAAGCCTCGTCGTGATGATCACATGGGTGGCTCCGGTGTTCCTTGGAATCAGATCATGCAGATCTTTTCCTTCCCACCATTCCTTCTCTGTCTCAAGATTGTCGATCACCAGCAAGTAAGGGATATCTCGGAAGAGCTCCCTCTTCACCCTTTGGAATGCATCAAACTCCTGTTCGTCGAAGCTCCTTATCCTCCCTCTTTCCTTCTCTCCCTCTGAACTGACATCCAATCCCAAGTTCATTGACAGATTCAGAATGTTCTGCCTGAAGTACCTTGCTTCACCACCAATCCACAGCGCCATCTTGTATCTCTGAGCGTACCTGTAGGTAAACTCCAAGGCGAGCTCTGTCTTCCCGATGCCTGAAGCCCCATTGACACAGAACACGTTGGCATTGCCATAACCTTTGTTGCCTCCGCTACGTGATTTCTTGTGCTTCGACCGTTGCTTCTGAAGGCTTCTTCCTTTGCTTGTAAGCTCGATCACTGGTTCTATCCAAGCTTCCAAAGTAGGCTCTTTGCACTTCCTCATTTCCAGACTAATGTACTTCCCGCTTGTTCTAACTGTATCACTCTCCTCATCGGCGAATCCATCACTCGAGCCACCATTCACCAGCGGCTGCTTTGGATGCTCCATCTCATGAACTTCACAACATCCGAAGAAAGTAGCCTCGATCTCCGTCATCTCCTTCTCTCTACCGACAAAATGTCTGTTTCGAGGAAAGGGTAATTCTTCAAAGCCATCGTTTTCCTTGTCTGTGCTACTCTTCCTTGCAAGTTTCGATTTTAGGATCGCGACCGCCTTCGATATGCAGCTTCTCCAGTTGCTATGGTTTGTTTCGAGCTTGAACTCATTGCACTTGGTCAATCCTTCAAATGCTTCCCTACATTCCTTACCCTCCAACCTCCCATCAAGAAGACTTGCGATCTCTGAGAGCTCGGTATCGAACAGAAGCGGAATGAGATTTCTCTTCTGAGCAAAGAACCTGACCTCCTCGACACTCAGAGGATTAAGAAAACTAGATGGTGTCACTGCAATGACACCAAAGGTCGCAGAGCATATGACTCGATCGGCGATCTCATGTCTCTGAGTATCCGAATACTTTTCTCGATCAGCAACAAATGAGGCTATTCCTTGGAGCTCAAGCTCAGACTTGAGCCATTTACAGAAACGAATGAGATTGTTGTTTTGGCCATGGAATCCGATGTACACATCACAGCTTCGGAGCTTGGCATTGGCCGAAGGAGAGTCCGAGCATTTTGTGAATGAGATCCGAGGGACCGGAAAGGAGAATGAGATACGAGGTGCTGCTGCATCGGAGAACTTGGGCTTTTGGTCGATCTGGTCAGCTAGAGAGCCGTATCTTTCTGATGGAGGAGTGTAGGAAGTGCTTGGGATGTCGTCAGAATGTGAACAGGAGTACGAAACCGGCGATGGGATTGTAGCTGATGGTGTAGTGTTGTTGTTCTCACATGGTAGTTCTAAGGCTCTTGGAGATATATAAGGTGACTGTAATGCTGAAACAAATGCAGAGGATGGTGGAGAAGGTGAATTCAGGTGTGGAGAGATTGATATGGAAGGCGAGATGGGGTTAGATGTCTCGCCGTTCTCAGATGAAGGCCCTGCTATTTTGATGGTTAACATCTTCGTATTTGGTTCCGTGGGATCTGGGAAAACATCAGGGATCGGAAGGCCTCGAGGAGCTTCAGATGGAATCTGTTCATCCATCAGTGGCCACAGAACTAGATATCGAGTCTTAAATCCGGCAAAAGGAGAATTCAGATTGAAAACACAAAAAAAGAATAGGAATCAACAAATGCTGCATCTAGTCCTTCTTCTCCATTTCGAACATTATCTTACATGGGTTCTCATGGTCTAGAGAATTTGATGAAGAACCACCAAAAAAGGGAAAGAAACTAAGAAGGAACGACTTACAGAGGGATGTCGATCTCAGTCAGGTACACAGAACTTTGATACTCCTGATGAGAAGACGAGATCAAGTACCCTAGAAGAACAATATCTAGGGAGGAGACATGAACCTGTGACTAGATTACATCTGTCCGCACCTCCTTTCATTATAACACATGCATAGATGTCTCAACGGAGACGCGTGATGAAGGTGGAGGCCAAACATAAAGGATAAGTGTACAGTTCCCAGTCCAATGGCCGCTGAGAAGTAATAAGGATTTGCAACTGAAAGGAAAGGCGAATCAAGGTCCTCAACATAAATGAAGGGCATAAAAAGGTGCAGCTTCGAAGACACAAAGACCGCACATCTTCCAAGGTGAACGAGATCACGAGCGACTCGTCGGAGGATCGCGATGCCAAGGCTCAAAAAGAAGCATACATTTTCGTAAAATCCAATGCCATTCAAGGGGGAAAGCAAAAGTAACAGAGAAACAGGAGTCGGTCATTGCTGTAGTGTTTGCATCACATAAGTTTGACGAAATATTGAGGGGAGGATGCAGGGACTACGGACTGGGGGCTTTGAATGAATTGTGATGACACACACACAGTCGTCTTTGCCTTTGGTTTATGCGTTGGGGATTATCTATTTTACTCTCCTCAAAGAACAAGGTTCTCACAATAACTAAAGAAATGGTTGAAAGGGCATCGGGAGGGGAACCAAAGCTCAGATCCTGTAGGTTATGGGGGATTCAGAGGGTCAGAAGAAGACGAGCAATAATATTGCTGGGAGGATGCTGAGCACTGTACTCATATGGCAGTGAGCTTTTGCTCTGGTGTTTGGAGCAAAGACTAGTCCAACTGCAACATCAAGGTAGGGAGGGGGGCCTGGCATTCAAATTCACACAGAAGCTCTCTCTCTCTCTCTCTCT